ACTCCCGCCGCATTGTAGTCGCTGAGTGGGATCTCACCACATACTCAGATGCCGGAAGATACCGCTCAGGAAATTGTTCATGTTTGAAGCTCTGTAGGTTCGAATGTTCAACTGCGAACCGAACGGGGGGGGGGGGGGGGGTATTCGGCCCATCACCACCCTGTTCTATATATATATATATATATACAGACAGAATAAACAGCTACAATGTCACGTAAGCATGAACTAGGTTACAGCGCCCCTTTAAGGCATGGGAAACTTTTTGTGCCGCTTGCACCCGTTCTCACACATACTTCTCTCCCTCCGAGTCAATTTATATACCGCCAGATTCGTTATCCCGGCCTCTCGCTAAGCTCGCCTTGCGTTCAATATAGTCTGTTTTTTTTTCCCTTTGCAATCCTCCTTTATCTCACTAATCCCGCTCCTCTCCCCCTCAGGCCAGTATTTGCATGGCTCTGCTTCTACAATCCGGCCCTCCAATGTAATGACATTTAGCAGGACACTACTGGAAATGAGGCTTACGGTGAAAAACACGCTAAACCGCTTAAGATCTCCGGCCTAAAACGAAAAAAACAACAACTTTTCTCTTGTTTCCAATCGCCAAACACGAGGTGTGAAAATTTAATTCCCGGAATGGACCTTCCAAAAAAAAAAAAAAAGGTTTGTTCACCTCTACACTAGCGGCTGTTGTCACCTTCAGAGTAAACATCGGAAACATTCCTGGAACTTGTTTTCCGGAACGCTGCGCATGATCTTCGTTGAATGTCCGGAATGTCATCAAAATCTTAAGGCATTTTTTATAATTTGGTAAAACAGCCAAAAGTCGCTATGTCAGCCTTTCACAAGCCAAAGAAGACTACAAGTGGCCGTTCCAATGCACATTACACAAGCATGTGCCACTGTTGTCACCATTAAGGAACCTGCCCTGAGAAGTACAGGTAGATCCTTCTCAGGGAAGGGGTTAAGGGTGACAATGCTCTCTCCCTGTCTTCCAACTGTGCTCCTGCGTTGTCACCCTTTTCACAAGCCAAAGAAGACTACAAGTGGCCGTTCCAATGCACATTACACAAGCATGTGCCACTGTTGTCACCATTAAGGAACCTGCCCTGAGAAGTACAGGTAGATCCTTCTCAGGGAAGGGGTTAAGGGTGACAATGCTCTCTCCCTGTCTTCCAACTGTGCTCCTGCGTTGTCACCCTTTTCACAAGCCAAAGAAGACTACAAGTGGCCGTTCCAATGCACATTACACAAGCATGTGCCACTGTTGTCACCATTAAGGTACCTGCCCTGAGAAGTACAGGTAGATCCTTCTCAGGGAAGGGGTTAAGGGTGACAACGCTCTCTCCCTGTCTTCCAACTGTGCTCCTGCGTTGTCACCCTTTTCACAAGCCAAAGAAGACTACAAGTGGCCGTTCCAATGCACATTACACAAGCATGTGCCACTGTTGTCACCATTAAGGAACCTGCCCTGAGAAGTACAGGTAGATCCTTCTCAGGGAAGGGGTAAAGGGTGACAACGCTCTCTCCCTATCTTCCAACTCTGCTTACAGCTACTGGACAGGAAGTAAGCTGTGCTCATAAAGAACTGCTATTTGCACTAAACCCTTTATAATAAATCTCTTCAGCCCTTATAATTTCCTGGAATACATTTACATATTTATGTGTAGCAATGAAAAGCTATTTTTATATTACCCCCTACTTGTAACTGCTACCATTTCCTCTTCTCCCGCAAGCCATTCCTATTACTTGGCCCTTCCTTCAACGACTTCCCAAAACCACTCATGTAAAACCTCTGCACCCCCTTGATATAATTCTGTTCCTCACTAATCCTCTCTCCACCCCTCTCCGCATAATCCTCTTTACCCAGGGGTCTCTGGCAACCCATGTCATCTCTCCTACTAGACCTGTGTGTGTGAAGCAGCCTAATCTTATGCCTCCTCACAGCCTTCAACATGGTGCTAATGTAACAGGACCCGAACGTGTGACATCATGCATATTAATCGGGATAGGTTTAGAATTCCAAGGATCTGTAATGCTAGGGGAAATTATTTTATTCAGGCTGAGAGGGTGCAATGAGCAGTTACCATAGCGCTAGGCAGTCAGTTGGCTCTGGAGAACCACATCTTCTATAGTAAACCTAGTATGCTCAATATCTATCTATGAAGGCCTTTGCTAAAGTGCTCTAGAAGATGTGGAAGCAATAAAAGCGGCAACTGTCTGTATTTAAAGATCTTTTTGCAAGCTACCAGGATCTGATACGATATATGGGCAAAGGCTTGTGGAACACTGACCACCATACCTACACTTTATGGTCAAATGATTGTGGACAACTGACCACCATACCTACGCTTTATAGTCAAATGATTGTGGACAAACTGACCACCATACCTACGCTTTATAGTCAAATGATTGTGGACAACTGACCACCATACCTACGCTTTATAGTCAAATGATTGTGGACAACTGACCACCATACCTACGCTTTATAGTCAAATGATTGTGGACAACTGACCACCATACCTACGCTTTATAGTCAAATGATTGTGGACAACTGACCACCATACCTACACTTTATTGTCAAATGATTGTGGACAACTGACCTACATACCTACACTTTATTGTCAAATGATTGTGGACAACTGACCACCATACCTACACTTTATTGTCAAATGATTGTGGACAACTGACCACCATACCTACACTTTATGGTCAAATGATTGTGGACAACTGACCACCATGCCTACGCTTTATTGTCAAAATGATTGTGGACAACTGACCACCATACCTACGCTTTATAGTCAAATGATTGTGGACAACTGACCACCATACCTATACTTTATAGTCAAATGATTGTGGACAACTGACCACCATACCTACACTTTATGGTCAAATGATTGTGGACAACTGACCACCATACCTACACTTTATAGTCAAATGATTGTGGACAACTGACCACCATACCTACGCTTTATTGTCAAATGATTGTGGACAACTGACCACCATACCTACACTTTATTGTCAAATGATTGTGGACAACTGACCACCATACCTATACTTTATAGTCAAATGATTGTGGACAACTGACCACCATACCTACACTTTATGGTCAAATGATTGTGGACAACTGACCACCATACCTACACTTTATAGTCAAATGATTGTGGACAACTGACCACCATACCTACGCTTTATAGTCAAATGATTGTGGACAACTGACCACCATACCTACACTTTATGGTCAAATGATTGTGGACAACTGACCACCATACCTACACTTTATGGTCAAATGATTGTGGACAACTGACCACCATACCTACACTTTATAGTCAAATGATTGTGGACAACTGACCACCATACCTACACTTTATGGTCAAATCATTGTGGACACCTGACCACCACAAAAGGCTTGCAAATATCTGCCCACCGCATGTACACTTTATGGTCAAAGGCTTGTAGACACCTGACTATCACATTTACACTTTATGGCCAAACGCTTGTGAACACCTCTGTCCCCCACACCTATACTTTACGGCAAGAGAATGTGATCTCCCTCCAAATTCTTGAGTCCAAGTTTCGAATAAAGGGTGAAAATATGTGGACACCTCTCAAAATTATTGAGTTCCGGTTATCCCAGTGAAGGGGAGGGTTAATGCTCTAACAAAGACTTTGTAGACAAATTGTGCTCTTCCAACTTTGCGGTAACAGTTTGGGGAAGACCCTGTTCTGTTCCAGCATGACTGTCCCCTGTGTACAAAGCCAGACACGGTTTGACCAGTTTGGTGTGGAGGAACTTGAGTGACCTGCACAAAGCCCTGACCTCAACCCTACTGAACACCTTTGGGATGAGTTGGAATGAGCCAGGTCTTCTAAACCAATATCTCCTTAAAGATTTGGTTTGACCAGTTTGGTGTGTAAGAACTTATCCTTGATCTCAACCCCACTGAGCACCTTTGGGATGAAATAGAACACTGATTGCTCTTCTGGCTTAATGGGCACAAATTTTTACAGTCAAACTCAAAAGTCTTGTAGAAAGCCTTACCAGAACAACCATAAATTACTGGCGTAGGAGGGGTGGGGGCAAGTCCCACCTAACTGCCCATGGTTGTGCAATGTTATATCCAACAAATTCATACTGATGTTCTACAAACTTTTGGCATTATAGGGTATTTGTAGAAAATCCACTTAGGACTGGACCAAGGGTAACAAGACTGCGAAAGGGTGCTGGATGACATTAGATTAGTGCCTCTTCCAAAAGGGAATTGATTAATTTGAAAACAACTGTCTATCAAACATATCATGACCTCTGCAGATTCTCCCCTTGACTGACCCATGTCAGGTGAAACAAATGATTTTCCTGAATGAAAAGAATGATTTCATTGAGATCAAACAGGCAACAAGAAAACCATGCAACTGAAGCAAAAATCATGCCTGTTCAGCTGGCAAACCCACAAGTCCATTCATAGGTTAGACCACTCCGAGTGATGGCATCTGGCTTCCACTACGACTGGTTAAAGGGCCTGCTAAGGATGAAATATTCAATGGATTGTGTGCGGTTACAATTTTCTCACCACAGCTTGGTAATTTGGCACTGACGCAAAGGATAACTGGGTCTGATGTGAAACATCAGCTTCTACTCTCCTGAAGTCTTGAAAAAGAAATATCTCCAAATTAATTAGAACATCTGTTTTTATATACAAAAAAAGTTCTGTACTAATCTCATTAAAGGATCAAATACCCAAAAAAGAAAAATAATGTGAAGAAAAGGGTGCAAACAAGGCTGTTATCATCTTACAGACCCAAAAAGATAAGAGGAACTGTACTGCCTGTAGTCATATGTTAGACGTTCCCCCAACCATAACCTTTTCAATAAAAACACAGCCAGTCACTAACCTGATGACGTATCCCTTTAGGATGCCATTCTGATGATTCTCTGGGGGTGCCTGCCAATGGACAAAGATGGACTGGTTGGTGCGTCCTGTGGCGATGACAGCTTGTGGTGGGGCACTAGGAGGTTCCTCTGGAAGGGTCAGCCTGTGGGTCAACAAACAAACACATCAAATGACAACCACAGATACACTAAGCTGCAATAATTAAAGTATCTGGAAGTAAAAGAAAACTATTCATGTTGGCCACCAGGCAAATACCGTAAAAAAAAAAGTCCATCCCATGCACACACCACTATAACCTGAATCCTAATCAGGTGCATGACATACGGAGTCATCTCTGTAGCCTCTATAAAGTAAGTTTTCAATGTAGAGAAGATTTTTTTTTTACATCTTCTAGAGCAGTGGTTCTCAACCACCAGCCTGTGGCCCCCTCCTCCCTGGCCTCCAGTTGGCTGCTGTTCTTCTAACCTCCTACACTACCTTCCAGTTCCCATACTGCCACCAAACATTTCACAGTGGCCTGCAGTTCCCCTCAGCTTCTCACATTGCTCGTAGACCCCTTAGCACCCAAAGTGCCCCTCAACCCCCCCACAGTGTCCGCCAGTTTCCGGCAGTGCATCCTTGCTGCAGGGCCTGTAGCCCTCCACTGTACCCACAGCCTCCAGCAGCATTCCTCAATGTCTTACAGTGCCACCAACCCCCCTCCCAGAGTTTCATCTTTGCACTCAAGTCTATTGGATAATGGTTTCAATAAGGTTGTGAAACACTGTTCTATAAAGCTGCTTGGCCTTATCAGACCTTCCCATCATCATGGAAAGGGTCTGGAGAAGGCAATGACCTTCTGGGCCTTCAATTAGCTAAGGACCTCCTAACCTCCCACAGTTCCTAACAGCTTGCACAGTGATACCGAGCCTTCCATAGTGGCCTGCTGTGCCCTTCTCAACCTACCACATTGCCCTAGGTCCTCTGTCCCCACAGTGCCCCTCAACCTCCCATAGTGTTGGCTCAGCCCCTGCAGAAGGCCTTGGCTTGATGCAGAGACTTCAGCCCTCCATGACACCCACAGCTTCCAACAGTGTCCCATAATGCCCCCTCCAGTCCCTGAAGAGAACCCCAATCTCCTACAGAGCCCATGGAAAGCCCCTAGCCTCCTGAAGATACCTTCAGCCCACTCAAAGGATCTCAACCCTCCACAGTTGCTCCCAGACCCCTCCAGAAACCTCATCTCTTAAAGGGCCACCATGTCTGTTGAAGAATACCCTAACCCCCTTGCAGAACCTAAATTCCCCCAAAAAGACACCCACCCAGAGCCCTCCAGCATTTCAATATATATTTTGAATTCCCATACTTTTCTTGTGTGAGTATAAATCTTTTTTACTACTGTTCGGGCATGGAAGGTTTCATGGTCTCAATAGGGTTGAGGACCCCTGTTCTAGATTGCTGCCTGACCTTACCAGACCTTCTCAAGTTACCAGACCTTCTCATTACCATAGAAAACTTCTGGAGGATGAAATGACCACCCCCCTCCCCCAGCAACCAATCAGTTTCTCCAACTTAGGATTCCACTTAGAATAGAAGACTCTAATTGGCTGCTCTGGTCCACATCAACAGACCTCCTTACAGCCACACTCAATAGCGGGTCCCTTTATTACAGCTATACAGAAAATATTATAGTAATACATTTCTGCCGGGCGGCGCTGGATTCCAGTTCCATCAAGAACTTATCTTGCCAACGCTATGACAAAGAACTAAATATAAAGTGAAACTCTACATTATGGTAATGAAAATTTACTGGAGACATTTGTCAAGGCTGGTGAAGCTACCAGCTACAACAAGCTCAAAGCTCATTTCAGCCGAGATGCGACTCTGCGATAAGCGCTGCTTCTCTCCGTCGCTAGAGGAAGTACGAGGAGATTGGAGCAGACAACGAAGGAGACAAGAGATAACTTAGCTACGAGCGCAGCCTGTTTAGGCAAGCAACGTTTGTGTGACTACACTTCTGAAAATCATATCTCGTGTAATCATAGAAAGGCCTAGGCCTCAATAAAACCCTCCATTTTTCAGGATGAAAATCAGTGGTGATGCCAAGTCACAATTCAAGAACTCCGGATGGCACTGCCCACCTCTACCCATAACGTTTGGCTCAGTGTTGCTTGGATAATGGTGATACGGATGACTTTCCCGGCTTTTTGTGTTCTCTTGGGGCTTTGGTGGTCTGATCAACTACAAAGACCTAAGGAACAACTTCAACTCTAAAGCCAAAGCTTTTTTGGGGCATGGAAGGTTTTATTGGGTAATGGTTTTAGTAAGGTTGGAAAGCACTGTTCTTAGAGAGCAGTTTGACCTTACCAGACCTTCTCATCATCATGGAAGGGATCTGGAGAATGACCCTCCAGGCCTCCAGCTAGCTGCTGATCTCCTAACCTCCCGCAGTTACTTCCAGCTTGCATAGTGCCACCCAGACTTCCATAGTGGCCCCAATCAACGTCCCACAGTGCCCTAGGACCTCCCACAGTGCCCTTCAACCTCCAATAGTGCCCCTCCTATAGGAATGAATGGAGCAACAGTGTTCAGAGATTGCTGAATCAGGGCTGAAGGTAAGTATGTTACCTGGTGGGCTGCACTTAGAGGAGGCGGGGAAATTTATTAAAGGGCGCTACACCAAAGCTGAAGTGTATTGAACGTATGGCTCAGTGTTACTTGGACAATGGTGATAAGGGTCACTTTTCCAGCTTTTTGTGTTCTCTTGGGGCTTTGGTGGTATGATCAACTACAAAGACTTAAAGAACAACTTCAACTCTAAAGCCAAAGCTTTTTTGGGGCATGGAAGGTTTTATTGGGTAATGGTTTTAGTAAGGTTGGAAAGCACTGTTCTTAGAGAGCTGTTTGGCCTTACCAGAACTTCTCATCATCATGGAAAGGGTCTGGAGAATGACCCTCCAGGCCTCCAGCTAGCTGCTGATCTCCTGACCTCCAGCTTGCATAGTGCCACCCAGCCTTTCATAGTGGCCCCAATCAACGTCCCACGGTGCCCTAAGACCCCGAGAACCCTCTGCCCCCACAGTGCCCTTCAACCTCCAATAGTGCCCCTCTTATAGGAATGAATGGAGCAACAGTGTGCAGAGATTGCTGGATCAGGGCTGAAGGTAAGTATGTTACTGGGAGGGCTGCACTTAGAGGAAGCAGGGAAATTAATTAAAGGGCACTGCACCAAAGCTGAAGTGTATTGAAGGCCAAAGCCTTCAACCCCTGTCTGCTTTTATTGCTGTACGGGATACATGCCTACGAGGAGCTAGCTCTCCCATTATTATCGATGCATATGACCATCTCATTAACCACTTCCCGTCCATCCCCAGCATCCCTTTAACTGGGCTACTATGCTCGGGGGGAAGGTTTGAGCATTCACGTGACTACTGTGATTGGCTGCCCCAGTGGTCATGAGATTGGAAGCCAGGCCTACCGGATCCCATCATTACCAGAGACCGCATGCTGTCCTTGACAGCTTGATCGCTCAGCACAGAAACCATGAATGCATATGTGCGATAGTAAAGTCCTCTTTGCCACCACACATATGTGTTACATTGGTGGCAAGAGGTTAAAGCGGACTTCAACCCAAAAGTGAAAGCTCTGCTTATCTGCCTCCTCCCCCTTTTCTGCTGCCACATTTGGCACCGTTTGGGGAGCAGGGGGAGCGGGTACCTGTTTTTGGCAGATACAAGCTCCCCCTTCCGGCTCAGTTCACTGCGGTGAACTGAGCCGGAAGTTAACCGACCCCCCCCCCCCCCCCAAAGCCGTCTGGGACACTTCACAGGTCCCAGAGGACTGTGGCCCATTCACAAGGAGCAGCCCGCGTCACGCATGTGAAGCTGCAAGGCTTCACCGCCGGTTTCTCTTAGTCAAGATGGCGGCACCAGCACCCGACATCCGAAGAAAGAGTCAGCTCAGGGTGAGGACACCGCTGGATCCCTGGACAGGTACCATGGATGCATATGTGCGACATGTGGGCAGTAAAGCCCACACTCTTTGCCACCACGCGTATGTGTTACATTGGTGGCAAGAGGTTAAAGCGGAGTTCCACCCAAAAGTGGAAGCCCTGCTTATACGCCTCCTTCCCCTTCTCCGCTGCCACATTTGGCACCTTTTGGGGGGGAGGTGGAGGAGATACAGGCTCCCACTTCTGGCTCAGTTCCCCACAGTGAACTGAGCCGGAAGTTCGCTGACCCCTCCCCCCAAATCCCTCTGGGACCTGTGAAGACTGTGGCCCATTCACAAAGCTCAGCGCACGTCAGACATGTGCTAACTATGTGGCTATGTAACTATGTGAATTTGTAACTATGTGGCTATGTAACTATGTGGCTGTGTGAATGGATCCCCCCTTTTTGGCGGATCGGATCAGATGTCGGACACGCCACGTCCATTTACACCCACCACTCCATAGAGAATAATAGTGGTTCTGGTCGGGTTTGTGCCTGAATAATGGCCAGTAGGACCAGATGAAAACCTTCTGTGTGAAAGGGGCCTTAAAAGATGTAAAAATTAAAGTCATCAATAGTCCAATGGAAACTTCATGTTACAAAAATCTAATAGTAAAGACATATTACATAGAATCAATTTTACAAAAAAAAAAATCCAGAAAAAAAGAAAAAGTCTACCTCTTAAAAAAAAATAAAAAATACAAAGTGTATGATTTAATGTAGAGAAATATTTTTAATCACAATGTTGTAACACCGCTGTGATTATAATACTTCTCTGTGCAGTATTATTACATTCGCTTTTGTTTTTTAAGACCTTTTCTTTTTTTTTTTTTTTTGTAAAATAGATTCTTCATAATATGTAGTTATTATTAGAGTATTATTACATTTTGTTTTTTTTTTTTCTTTTTTTTTTTGTCCTTTTTAGGAGTAGACCTTTTCTTTTTCATTTTCTGTAAAATAAATACTTTCTAAAATGTCGTTATCGTTAGATTTTTATAACAATAATAATAATAGTGGTAATAAATAATAATAGTAGCATTTGTTACCATTGAACCGTTTACGCTTTTTTATGAATGTAAAAATATTCATATATTTCTTTCCATTTGTATCGTCGCCCCGAGGAACGGGGAGAGTTTGAACCCTTCAAACGTGTTGGATCTTTTATTTTATT